TTAATGTGTTAGACATCCTCATCTTGTGCTTTCCATCAGAGAAAATGTCGGCTCACTGTTAAGTTATATATATGCGTGCAGTGGGAAAAATACACCAGTGTTCCTAGGGGCGTTAAACCCATACATTTATATTGAACTTTCTAAATATTAACAACCATCTACAATGGTTTACAATCGTTAATAGTTTTTTATGGGTAGTTGGCGGGTGCTCTGGTCTTGTTTGCTCCTTATTTCTTCCCTATTAAACATAATCTGTCGTCCCTTATCTCCCCGCCTTCTTTTTTCGTGTTTGTTACTTCATTGTAACACGTCTAATCTTCGGCATTTATATGACGTAAGTGTGTTGCAAGTGTCATAAAATTCTTACTTACTTGAAAATAAATAAATAAATAAATTAAACAAACCGATACGTAAATAAATAAATACATAAATACACAAATACATTAGTACATAAATAAAATAAAGAAAGTATAAGTGAATGAATGACTGAATAAATAAATACATAAATAAATACACGCATACATAAATAAACTGATACAAAAATAAATAAATAAATTCCTGAATAAATAAATAAATAAACAAACAAATAAATATAAATACACCAATAAATAAACAAATAAACCAATGCAAATTTGCGGTGTCCTCAGATGACCCTGACGGCAGCGATGTGGCCAACGAGGTGGGCAACATGGGGAACGACATCCCTGACCCCCGCTCCTGCTATGACCGACAGCTCAGCGAGCACAACCGACGCAAGCAGTGGACGCTTAACTACCAGGAGGCGGCTATATATCTGGAGGTCTGCTCTGTCTTCTTCGTTCTCTGTGTGTGTATTGTGTGTGTGTGTGTGTGTGTGTGTGTGTGTCTGTACTATGTGTATGTGTGTGTGTCTGTACTATGTAAGTGTGTGTGTGCGTGCATATGTGTGTCTCTCTGTCTGTCTGTCTGTCTCTCTCTCTGACTGTGTCTCTGTGTGTCTGTCTGTGTGTCGGTCTATCTGTGTGTCTGCCTGTCTTTCTGTATATCTGTCTCTGTCTGTCTGTCTGTCTGTCTGTATGTCTGTCTGTCATCTGTCTGTCTGCCTGTCTCCGCCCCCCCCACGTAAACTGCAATTTAAATGGGAAAAAAGACTCTACAACGACGGACACGACGCGAACAGAATCCAAAAGTGTATAAAAGTGTTCGTATTCCT